TCTTGAAAGTTTTAAAGAATTTCTTAATATTTCATCTAAACCGTCAGTCTTAGTTGCTCATAATGTTCAATTCGATGCTAAACACTTGCTTCAAGCAATAATACGTCATTCCATGATAAACGATTTTAAATCTATCATTAGTGGATTTTCCGATTCTGAAATTTTGCTACGGAAACGATTTCCTGATCGAAAAGGAAAAGGACAGTTCAAATTATCAAAGCTAGCTGAAGATTTGCTTCCAAAAAAGAATAATAATAATTTTCATGAAGCATTGTTTGACGTAGAAGTGCTAGAAGAACTTGTATGCTTATATATTTCAACAACAGATTTGCTTAACAACAGCAAATCTTATATTGAATCAATAAATAAAATAATAGGAGCTCGAAAAGTAGCAGAAATAGCACTAACCTTAGATGTTTTAAAAGGGATAATTTCTGAAGGAATGATTAAAAAAATTGCTCAGGCCGGGATCACGTATAATACTTTACAGGATATTTATAAGCAAAAGGGCAAAATCGGGCTGAAACAATTTTTATCAGAAAAGTCGACCAATAAAAAAGTTCGCGTAACAAATAGATCGAAAATATTAAACAATATTATTAATTATGTAAAAGATCATGTTAACTAATTTGTATCTTATTCTATAATTGTTTCATTTAAGGTTTATATATGGTGCGTTTTCTACAACAAGCGACAAAAATCTCGTTCTGTTTTTTTTTTATTTTATAAAAGATTAATAAATACGTTGTATTACTTTCAGAGTACGTTATATTCGTCGTTCTGTTTTTTTCTTAAATATTTTATAAAATATTAATAAATACAATGTATATATTACTTATAGTACGTTATATTTGTTGTGCTCAACATTAATATAAATAAATTTATAGTTCTACACATACAATACCTATTATTTTACCTATTATAAAATAAATTAGTACGGTATAGAATAGGATATTGGCTAATCTGAACTACCTTCATATGCAGTGTTGCCAGATCTTTACAGGTTAGGTGTCGTATGCGTCCACCGCTATAAGAAATTGTGTACTTCGCGTAACAATTGCTTCAAAACTAGATAGACAAGGGTCTTGTACTTTTGTAAGAATATTTTTACAAGTCTCTTTTGTTATCTCTTTGTTTTTCATCAAAATCGTATGAGTAGTTTGATCGCTACAATTACAAACGTGATATGGGAAGCCGTTTTCGTCCTACGATACATGTAAAAAGTGCTAAGTTTGACTTCCATTATTTCAACTTTGGTATAGTCAATATTTTTCTACTTGCACGTGTGTGTAGAGCGTGTTTACATTAATATGCTGTTCAAATTTTAAAAGATTCCTATGAAAAT